TGACATTGTTTATAAGGCAACCTCACTTTTTCATTGCTTGTCATAACATAAACTCTTACCAGTCTTCCCAGCTTGTCATAACAATGCTATTTAGTGCTTTTTTATAAAGAAATAAAATTAATATTATGCAGAATTGAGTGTTTTGGCCCAGCCCTCCATAATATTTTCTGTTTCTCATGTGGCCACATGGAAAAAAATAATTGCCCACCCCTGGTCTAACCCTTAGGCCCCAAGCTGCTGAGAGAGGCAGCTCGGTAATAGGACTGTTAAGGGACTCAAAATTAATACATTTAATACCCTGAAGTCTGAGACAAGCATTAGACATGCTGTTTGGATCAGCTAACCCCTCTGCCAATGTGCACCTTTCTTTAAAATGCAGATGTGCATTGACAGAGGAGTAGAATAAGATTTATAGATTTAATTTGTGGACTGTGTCAGGCCTCACAGCTGCATTGACTTATTGGCGGTGGCACTTTTTGATGGTTCACTTGATCACAGTAAGTGTGGTCATTTATCAGCCGTGCAGGACGTCACCAGCCACTCACTGTTATTAACACTTTATGGACCAAAATAGGGCTTTTTGAACACAGTTACAAAGGCATGGGACAGAGGGCAATGTTATATTGCAGATGTTATACTGTGCAATATGGCATTCCACAGTGACCGCTCACTTCGAAGTACAGGAAATATCTTTCCCATTCATTTTCTTCACAGGCTTGTACATGTTAAAGTTTTGGTTACTAATGACCACATTAGTTATTTATCACATTGCTGGTTAGCCTCTATTGTGTCTTTAATCTCTTAATATTAGATTTTTTTGTGGTCTAAAGTCTAAAGGAAAAATGAATGGGAATTTTACTGCTGGAACCTCAGTTGGCTTAAACTTTTGAGCTCTCCAAATTATGGCTGTATAAATTTGGCCAATAGTACCAACAGACAACAATCACAACTTGACCTTATCAGTTTAGAATTACCAGTCTGGGATTGAGTTCATTTCTGAGGATACCTGTGCTGGAACTTTTTCAAACAATTTTTCATCCATGAATTAACAATATTTTTATCTAAATGGGTAAGAAGAAAGAATAACAATCTGAACTGCAATGCACAACAGTACAGTCCCTGACAAAAGTCTTGTCGCTTATCCATTTTGTAGAAACAAAAGCTTATAACCTGACTTTAAATGAATCGATTGGTTTTAGAAATGTCTCATATGAAGCTAAAACCCTCCCAAATCATGTTCAATATACTAAAATAAATTTGCTTCACTGAAGAAAGATTGATCATTTAATGAACACAGAAAGGTCAGATTTTGGCAAGACAAAAGTTTTGTTGCCTACAGAAAATTGAACAAATAATTTACTTCAAATACAAAAATATGTTGCATAACGTCAGTGAATGAAGTAGTGGTGCTGTGAGATCCATATTTAATATCTTGTATGACTTCCATGAGCTTGAAGGACTGCCCCATGCGGTTCGACAATGAGTCATACAATTTGTTGATGAAGTCATCAGGAATAGCAAAGAAAGCGTCTTACATGCCTCCCAGAGTTCATCAAGATTCTTTGGTTTTGCCTTCCATGCTTCCTCTTTCATTCTACCCCAGACATGCTCAATGATGTTCATGTCTGGTGACTGGGCTGGCCAGTCCTGGAGCACCTTGATCTTCTTCACCTTGAGAAACTTTGATGTAGAGATAGAAGTATGTGATGGAGCACCATCCTGCTGCAAAATTTGACCCCTTTTATGGTTGGGAATGTAAGAGGTAGCTAATACTTCTTGATATTTTAGGCTATTGATATTGCCTTCCACCCTGCAAATGTCTCGCACACCCCCATACTGGATGGAACCCCAGACCATGATTTTTCCACCACCAAACTTAACTGTTTTCTGGGTGAATCTTGGATCCATGTGGGCTCCAGTAGGTCTCCTGCAATATTTGTGGCAGCTGTGATGTAATTCAACTGAGGATTCATGTGAGAAATCCACCTTCTGCCACTTTTCCAGTGTCCATCCTTTTAGCAGGCTGTGGGCCTTGGCAAATGCCACACGGTTTTTTAATTGCCTTTTGTTTAGTGCTGGTTTCTGTGCACTGATTCGACCATGGAGGTCATTTCCAGACAGAATTCTACAAACTGTTGTGGTTGACACAGGGACTTGAGGTGACCAGGCCTGGTGGAGCTCTGCTGCAGTGGAAAAGGGGCTGGCCTTGGATTTTCGAATCAACAAACGGTCCTCCCGAGCAGTTGTCTTGCAGCGTCTGCTGGACCTGGGCTTGTCAAAAACATCTCCAGTCATTTCAGATCTTTTTCTTATTTTTTGTACTTGACGCTGAGACACATTGAAGGTGTCACCACCTCAGCAGTGGATCTGGTCTTCAGCCTCTTGATAATTAATGCTTTGGTCTCAGGGTGGATCTTAGGCATGTTGTGGAGGTCAAGTTGCAGTTGATGTGAAGGTCTGGTGTGCTGGGGTTCTTTTTATACACACCCACTAATTGATTGATCAGTAACTGATCACAGGTGAGGCTGTAATCTAGGATTGGGTGCATCATATGACAAGGCGACAAGACTTTTGTCTTGCCAAAATCTGACCTTTCTGTGTTCATTAAATGATCAATCTTTCTTCAGTGAAGCAAATTTATTTTAGTATATTGAACATGATTTGGGAGGGTTTTAGCTTTCATATGAGACATTTCTAAAACTAATCGATTAATTTAAAGTCAGTTTATAAGCTTTTGTTTCTACAAAATGGATAAGCGACAAGACTTTTGTCAGGGACTGTATGTCCAACATGCTCAAACATCAATTTTCAACTACAATTTGTATGTGCGCTGGGAGGACAATGTTGTAAAAGACAGTTGGGCAAATGAGCTATTTGCATCATATTTAAACATAAGAATGATGATTGTCCTCCTGTGCAGACTAATCATTTGTGAAATATACATGAGCTTGTTATTTCAAGAGACCTCAGAAATAAATAGCCAAAAAGTGCAAATATTCCCGCATTCACTTATGACTTAAAAAGCTTTTCTCATTTGAAATGTTAGGACTTGCTGTTTTGAAGGGCATATGGACATTGCTGTAGTTCATTTATCAGGGGAGGATACTAGAGCAGACATAACAGATCTGCCACAAAGGAAGTTTAATTGAAATGTTTTCCATTTTTATTTAACTGGGGATTTTACTGTGTAAATGCAGTGAATATGCCCTCAATTTTACTTCTGGTCATTTTTTTTACTATTTGTGCTTTTGGAATTGGAGCTAAATGATGAAATTCAATGTAATACATCAATGGTCACATTTTTCTATACTGCTTTTCCACCTTCAAGGCACTCAAAGCGCTTTACAACAAGGAACCACACACACACACACATTCACACACCAGTGTACGCAGACACTGTGGGCAAGGTGGGTTAAGTGTCTTGCCCAAGGACACAATGACAGCATTCTTCTGTGGGAGCTGGAATCACATCAGCCAACCTGTGGGTCAGTGGATCTGACCGCTCAACCTGTGATGTTTATGTTGAGAGCTGGATTTGAACCGCCAACCTTCAGATCAGTAGGTGAGTGCTCTACCAACTGAGCTACTATATATATAATTAATGTAATATATAATTAAAGTAAGTAGATTTTAGACATTATTTCAAACCCTTGGTCTAGAATCTTATATTGTTGAAAAAATGATGATTGTACATGCCAAGGTTATGAGCTTCAGGAGTAATGCAAAGTAAATATTTTATTTGTATGGTGTAAAAAGCAGGACAGCCAAGGACAAACACTACAGTGAATAGATATATTTGCTAAGCAGTTAGAATATGCAACACACATAGAAATAATTTAAGGCCCTGGCTCCATATGCATTTTAAAATAAATGAATATATTTTTCTGCGCTCTAAAGTGCACATTTTGAAATAAATTGGTTATCTCTGAAATGTTTATTGTTTATGTTTTGATTCTTAAATCTACCAACAAGTGTGTGGAGACAGCTTTATTTCAGTGACCAAGAGATACATACATAGATACATAGTGATCTGAAAAGACCTTATGAATGTGTAAATTTGAATGAGCCTTTATAGGCAGAATCAATAAAATTTAATGTTAGTGCATACTGAACCGAGTGTGGTGTTATACATGATACAACCCCTTTTACAATGGAAAGACATTTAGTACATCAATTGTTTATTAGGTTGCTTAATAAGCATAAGCTTTATAAGCAGCCTACAAGACACATCACCCATCACACACTACACCATCACGTGACACTTCTGAGGAAGGCTACTGGGAGTAGCCAAATTTTTGTAAAGCAGGTAAACAAACTCTCTTGTCTGACCGAAAGAATTGTTAATTCTCAATTGTCTATAGTTTTAATAAACAATCTCTGTAAGTATGTTTCAGTTTGCTGATACTCTGACAGAAACATTGTCTGGTGTTGTGGAGCTGCACTGATGCATGCCAGCTCCTGCCTCGCTGGATGACAAAACATCCCTTTTATGTTGCCAACATTTGTGATGGAGAGATTGCCAACACAATAACCTGACATTAACCCTGCAATAATTTAGGCCTGTGTTTGTTTTCCAAGTGCTCTGGTATAGTAAGTCTTTTGATTTACAAATGTATTCACCAGGTTATCATAAAAAACAAAAAAAAAAAACAACAAAAAAATATATATATATTTCTTTCAAAGATTTAGACATATTTTTAAGATCAAGTTTATGTAAACAGGTGCAGTTATAAAAACACAGACCTTTAGACCAGCATTCCAGCTGCTTTTCGAGATAGTTTGAAAACTATAGATGCAGTGAGGGCAGAGTTACCAGAGCGGCAGTGAGGGAAGATTGCATCATTCCAGAAGAACTTCATTATGTCTAGCCGAAGGTTCAACCTCATTGCACTCTCCAAAAATTGTACTAAATTATGAAGAAGCTTATAAATTGTGAAATAACGTCACGCTATTCACGCGTACATGATTTATTTTCATTTTACATGAGATCTGTGACTAACCTGACCTCCCCTGGATCCTCGGTCACCAGAACATCAGTTTTACAGCTGGCGATAGGGTTGATAGACAGCTCCACTGGGGGGACCACAAAGCTCTTGCTGACAGGCAGCCACAAGCCCTGGCCCAGGCTGTAGAAGGACCTGTAGCAGCAAAAACATTTCAGTAAATACAAAATGCTTTACCTACTGAGAGCTGTCACTGTGCAAACAAAAGGGGACTTCAAACCTCCTTTTACAATGTACTATTTATACTATTTATTGTTTATTTGATCTGATCTACATATTAAGACTTGGCTGGGGTATATGATTTTCATGCCATAGAAGGAGGAAGTAAACATTTAAATTTGTCTAACTCATCTGTAGCTCTCACAAAACCTTTATCACATCATTAATATCCACATGGAATAATTTGCTTGGCTTTAGAACTGATTTATTTATATTTAGCACGGGTGGATCGTCCAAGGAGCTCAGCCAAACAGAGCACTGCTTTCTCCACTTACCTCCAGGCAGATGAGAAATACAAATATTTTTAAACTGTGCATTTTCAGTGCCATTAACTTTAAATCATTAGCCACTATTAACAGCAGCCAAGGAAACTTCTCTGTTGATAAAAGCACTGGTACAGCTTGCTTGAGACATGTGGCAAGCTGAGTGAATTTTTGCCCAAAAATGATTTCCCTACACAACAAATCACTGAAGACACACTGTAGGGAACCAGTCTAGTCCTTTGGGGATAACCATCTGGTCATCATCATTTTAAAATAGCATAGAACATGTTTTGTTAATGTATCAACGATCAAGAGCATATGGACATGAAAATATCATTACTTTCAATTTAGGATGAAATCTTTGTACAGATTTATGCTCTGCAGTGTGGTGCAGAAAGTACATCCCCCTGCATTTGGAGTATGCCGGTACTTTGAAGTTTCTTATGCATACAGTATAAAGCATAGGTGGATGGCTTAGAGCAGCAGAGTAGGCGCTGTGGATTTGGCTCCTTATTTCTTTGAGTGGAGTCATACAGAGAGGTTCACTGTGCAAGGTCAGTGAGAGAAGTTATGTAAGTAAATGTAGCCAGATAAATTCAAATTACTATTCCTATGTAACAGTGATAGCAAGTAATAATATATACACTGAGTTCCATCCATCCATTTTCTTCCACTTATCCAGAGCCAGGTCGCGGGGGCAGCAGGCTAAGCAGGGACTCCCAGACTTCCTTCACCCCAGACATGTCCTCCAGCTCCTCTGGGGGGACCCTGAGGTGTTCCCAGGCCAGCCGAGAGACATAGTCCGTCCAGCGTGTCCTGGGTCTTCCCCGGGGCCTCCTCCCGGCGGGAAATGCCCGGAACACCTCCCGAGGGAGGCGTCCAGGAGGCATCCGGAACAGACGCCCGAGCCACCTCAACTGGCTCCTCTCGACGTGGAGGAGCAGCGGCTCTACTCCGAGCTCATCATCCTATTTCTAAGGGAGCGCCCAGCCACCCTGTGAAGGAAACTCATTTCAAGCACTTGTATCTGCAATCTTGTTCTTTCGGTCATTATCCAGAGCTCATGACCAGAGGTGAGAGTAGGAACGAAGACTGACCGGTAAATCGAGAGCTTTGCCTTTCGACTCAGCTCCCTCTTCACCACAAAGGTCTGATACAGCGACCACATCACTGCAGACGCTGCACCGATCCACCAAGCCACCTTTTTCCGTTCGAGAACCATGGCTTCGGACTTGGAAGAGCTGATTCTCATCCCAGTCACTTCACACTCGGCTGCAAATCGCTCCAGTGCACATTGCAGGTCCTGGTTTGATGAAGCCAACAGGACAACATCATCTGCGAACAGCAGAGATGAGATCCTGTGGTCCCCAAACCGGACCCCCTCCGGCCCCACTCTGCGCCTAGAAATTCTGTCCATTAATACAATGAACAGAACCGGTGACAAAGGGCAGCCCTGGCGGAGTCCAACCTGCACCTGGAACAGGTCTGACTTACTGCCAGCAATGCAAACACAGCTCCTGCTCCCTTCATACAGGGACCGGACAGCCCTTAGCAAAGGGCCCCGGACCCCATAGTCCCAGAGCACCCCTCACAGGACACCACGAGGGACACGGTCAAATGCCTTCTCCAGATCCACAAAGCACATGTGGACTGGCTGGGCAAACTCCCATGAACCCTCGAGCACCCGATGGAGAGTGTAGAGCTGGTCCAGTGTTCCACGGCCAGGACAAAAACCACACTGCTCCTCCTGAATCCGAGGTTCGACTATTGGCTGGATTCTCCTCTCCAGTACCCTGGCGTAGACCTTACCAGTTAATGTTATCATTTATGCCAGGGCATCTTATTCCTTCAGTAAGGACTTAAAGGGCCCAGGACCCATTTTTTTCCATGTATTTGAGCAACATTTGTCTTGTCCCAGTATAGATATAGGTGTAAGCAGCTCATGAGGTCAAAATAAGTACACTGTGTTCTGTCTGCCTCTGTATCAGAAAGTGCAACATTAGCATGCTAGTTGTTGTGTTGTTACAACTATAAAACACATTGAATAATTTTGATGCTCAGATAAAAATAAGATAAGTGAGGAGTAATTTTGGACCGCTGCAAAAGAAGTTATATTTTTCAGTTTTTGCACCTGTAAAAGACAAATTTTAGCTTCTTTTTTCTATTCTTCTATCAGGGATTTTGAGATTTCATTGCCATTTTTTTGTATTTTGTAAAAGATTACCTTCATGTTAATTGCCATCTGGAAAACCAACACACATAAATCTAGCTTGTGCATCAAATAAAACAAACCCTTTTTTAAAAACTTGGCTGGCAGTGAAGAGGGCCCTTTGTACCTCGTACCTGTTGAAAAAAATGTCAAAGACGCTGACCCCATCAAGAAGCACTGCAGAACAAGAATGGCAGTGAAAGCATCTGAAATGGGTCCACTCCAGTTTTCCCCGTGGGCTATTTTGAAACCCAGGAGTAAGACTTCACTTAAAGAATAGAGCCCTGTCTTTGTCCATGCAACTTCACTGTATGCCTGGTCACGCACACAAGCCAAAAGAGCATTGCGTTTATTGTTAGAGAAGACATAGATAGACATAACATGCACTCATAGCAGGTAAGCACTCACCTGAAAATGCGCTCTGGGGCTTGCTGTCCAGTAACTAGGTCATAGCCTTTCTCTAGAGTGGCATAGGGCCAAGGACTGTGGAGGAGAGCATAAGGGAGAAAATTACTTGATCAAATATGAAGAACTTGCACAGTATAGCTTACAGCAAAGACAGCAAATAGCATGGATCTAGACAGCCTGAAGTGTGGGAGTTGGGTTGGCTTTAGGAAGGATTAACTTGCATTCAAATAGTTAGTTTTACTGTCTGCTCAGTATTTACCGCAGCCAAACTCATCATTTTTTTACTTGGTTCAGTGGTTTGCAAATCTACCAGTTTGATGCTTTTTCTTCCCCTTTATGTTTTTTTTTTTTTTGTGTCTCTTGTGACTGAATAGTTTGGATTTGCAAAAAAGAAAAAAAGAAGAAGAAGAAACAATAGAATCTGCAAAGAAAGTATGCAATTACAATTTTTGCTCACAACACAGAAAGACACAGTTAATGTATATTGAGAGGATACGCCTGCTTCAGAACCTTGATTGAGAAACTAACCACCAGGGCTCACTTTGGACATATTGTATTACCATGCCTCACAACAGTGCAGTGATGGGACATTTGATCTGGGGTTGACCTGGGTCCATCAGGGCAGGTAGGGCACAGGACCTCTTAATGAACTGACTGAATCCAGACTTAAATTGTCAAACAAGGTCAGAGTGAGGGAGCGGTCTTCAGGCTGTGCTGCTGCTCTCACGAGCACATTCCAGTCCAGTACTTTTTCATTTTCTGTGGCTACACTTTATGTCTCACTCCATCACTGCCCCCCTGCTGCTTTGATTCATTACACACTATTACTCCCTCCTACATGTCTTTTCATCTGTGCGCACTGCTCACCCCTCTTTTCAAGTCCCTTCCAGTCAGAGGAACGGTGCAGGTACATTTGCATATTTTAGCTCATTAAGAGAAAATTACTTCAATTTTAAGTGCAGGGACCTCTATTGAATTTTTTTGAATGGTGTGATCTTGATGTTTTTGAGCAAGAATTCTAGCTTTTGTTATTAATTGAAATTAACTCAAAAAGCTTAAAATAATGCATTAACATTTATAAATTGTGAAATAATATGTCAGCATTTGTGAAAATATAAACAAGGCTTTTGTGCATGTTCTTGTTGAGCTGCAATGAGACTTTTGTTTAACCTTTTACGACAAATAAAGTGTTAGTGATTAACTGATTATTTAAACATTTAAAATGCTGTCACCTCACAATGCATAATAATAATAACACATACAGTTTGAATAACCATTAACAGCAACATGATTCGGTAATCCAGAAATAATCAAAAATAAATTTAACCAATCATTTAGAATTTTTTTTAGTAAAAATACTGATATAATGTTTATGTTCTTCTAATCATACATTAGTTTACAGATTATGAGACAATTGTATACAAATCACTGTACTTGTTACATTTTAAAAGTCCTATATTACTTGAATTTGAGCATTTAGCCATACCCAATGTTGGGTTTTGTTTCATTCACACATGTTTGAGTAATCCTGAATTATCAGCCTGTTTATATCCCTGACGATCAAAATGCTCTGTTCCACCTTATGATGTCATGAAGTGGTTGTTTTCAAGTTTACAGATACCATTTACCTTTTGTTGAGTAGAAATTGGCAATTCTAGGACTGATTATCAAAAAGAGTGTGTAGGTGCATGGAGTTTAAAAACACAGTGGGGCACTTCCTGTATCACCACATGGCATCACAAGGTGGAACAGAGTGTTTTCTGTCTGAGAGAAGATCTCTGTCTAAATATGAAGAGTTTGTGTGAATGAAACAAAATATAACTTCAGGTCTGTTTTTGATGAGGAAAAAACATGATAATTTATGTCAGAAAACACTGTAATATGGGTCCTTTAAACAAGTGTGTCAGATTTCTCAGAAGTGGGCTGTCTGGCTGGGTTTAATTCTGTGATAGTGCTGGACAATAGAGCAGACAGAGGTTACCCTTCGTTGCGGGCCCAGTCACTGCGGACACAGAGGTGTTTGTGGTCAGGGTCAGGAGCATAACCCTCATGACAGCTGCATTCACCTGAAACACACACACAGAAAAGCACACTCACTAACTCAATATAATACTGCAAGTTTCTCTTCCAATATATTTTTGGTTATAAACATTATAATTTAGGATATAAAAAATAAAAAAAGCAATTTGGATGGTAAAGTAAAAAAAAAAAACCCTGATAAAGCATTCATGTGTTTCAATTAGGGCTGTGAAATTCACAAAATTTTAATCAAGATTGCAATTTAGTAATTTCTAATTGTCAATTATCATCTTGGGTCTTTTTAATCGAAAGGTTCACGGCCAGTGAAAACAAGTGTAGAATTTGGATGAATAAAGTGGACTATATTTTGTCCACTGATTACAGGTCTCTATTTTTCATGTTCAACAAATGAATGATGAAAGTGAAAAAAAGAGTTGAACTGAATATTGAGATCGATCAATATATAATGAGAAAAAGTTTTGTCATATTGCTCGACCTAGTTTCAGTTTCCTGTTATGCACTATGGCAATTTTAAACATTCTGAAATTCATGGCAATGTGTGTTAAGATGACTGCTGCATGCTGTCGTCAAATATTTAAGTATTTTATTAATCACAAATGTTTCTAATATTGACTACATGTTGAGTCCACGCCTGCTTCACTTCAAAATCTGATATAAAAGGTTTGTGAAAGCTAGCAGCTAGTTACATGCGTACTTGCTCTTTTCACAGTTTGAAAATCAGGTAATCCATCACAAGTGTGAATAAATTGCATATTTGATAACAGGTTGTTATCATTAGTCAGTCGTGGTAAGCTAAAACATTGTAATGGCAGAGCACACCTGAAAAGAGAAAAACAAGCATACTTTGTCACAGCATGAACCATTTGAAAATCACGCTGGTGACTTCACTTGGGCTGGCTCTTATAATTGCCAAAGTTCTCCAGCTGTGACCATATTTTGCTGGTGTTCCACTGGTTTTGTTTACTCCAAACTTCTTCACAGAGGTATTTTTGGTCCTGGAGATTTTGTGGTGTTAAAAGTTGCCTTGGCCAGACAGGGGCTGCAGCAGAGTGAGCAGACAGAGCGATCCAGCAGTGTTAGGTCTTTGTTTGGGTACAAGAGGCTGCCAATCGCTCAGCTTGGGTCACTGTTTGTTTTCCACACTGACCACTGAGCCATTATTAAACTCACTGCAAACACAAGGACAGCTTTCTGGCTGCTGCCGATTTCCTGGCAGGAACATGTCGGCAAACAGAAAGACAAATCAGAACACACTTTAAAAACACAGGGATTAGTAAGGAAAATAAAATGTGTACTCATGAGGAAAAACTAGAAAAGGCAAGGTACAGTTTATTGTCCCCATTGGAAAATTTGTCCTTTTGACTCATATTTCAATGCAGCTGGGGCAGCCTTTCAAGAGCAGTGGGTGCTGTCTGGGCCAGAGCTGGCTGCTTCAGATTCTGAGATAGTCTTGGTCAGGATTATGTTAGCTGAAGGATTTGACTTATTGTGCATGCTTTGGGTTGATGGTGGAAACCAGAGGAAACCCACCAAGACTCAAATAGAAACATGCAAACTCCACAGCTGTGAGATGAACCTCGAACCTTCTTGCTGGGAGATGAGATTGCTAGCCACTGCTACCAATGCCACTAGTTACTGCCTGAACAATTTATAAGACCACAAGTACTGTTAGAACTACTATTTACTAATCAATATTACACAAATTTAGAGATAATGCATCAAAATACATTCAGTACAGTGGCTCAGTGGTTAGAGCTGGTTCCCCAACCTGAAGGTCGGAGGACCCAATGGCACAGAGTTTGTAATGAATGAATACAATGGACAGCATAGCATTTTGAATTGCTTCAACAAGTCTGTAAGTGTAAGACTTTATTATTATTAAATAAAATACAGTACCTAAGTAATTCAAGAATTGACCACAAGTTAAATAGCTCTTCAGTTCTTCAGTATTCTTCACTAATTAATTATTCAGCTCTGAAAACATAACAGTGTTACAGATAAACCACATAAGAGAACTAATCAATGTTTGAATGTCAACTTTATAATGTTAAATCAATGTTAACATTTCTGTGTAGGGTCAGGACTTCCCTTTTCTGTCTGCTCCAGGAACATTTGCATTGGTAAAGTAACAAAACAAAATGCAACTTCCTTGTTTGATGTATGTGAATGCATAACACTGGAAAATAGTGTAATGGCCACCCAGGCAACATCATTCACATTTATCACCTGATGTTTAATAATTTAGCCACGGAGTTTATAGTACTCCTGCCTGCAATGAAGTGATGGCCAAGAGCATGCAGCCAAAGAGAGGAAAATAAAACTAAGTGCTTTTATTTGCTCCAGGCCATGTCATGCGACCCTTAGTGAATGAATAATAAAGATATAAAAATATGGCCAATGCAATGATCAGGCATAACAATATGACCAGTAACAGGTGCAGTGAAGATGGTTATATTTCATGGATTCTTCTTTGAGGATGTGTTCCTTCACATCTATACAATTGATTTATAAAAACATGAAAATGGGTACGTGTAGGGACTACAATGAGTTTGACAGGGGCTATGGTAATATGTGACAGGTAATATATTAAGAGATCAGTGTGATGATGATGATGATGATGATGTGATGTAAGTTCCATGGCAACGGAGTGGTTGGCTGCATTTGTGGCAACACACTGAGCTGTTTTTTTGTTTTTTTTTAACCATCATAGACACAGATCTGCTAACCCTACCTGCCCAGTCCCTCTGTTAAACTGCACTGAGATCTTTGACAGAGACACAAAGGCGACTGAGAAGCCTTTGTGTCTCAGTCAAACTGTTGGAGTTTTGCTACACTGCAACAGTGTGCTGCAGCAAAACTTGAATTTCCCTCACGATAAAGTATCTCTCTTTCTCTTCCTCTTTCTCTAGTTGACCATTCATACTTTGCACGTGATGTTATGAACATTCCCTGGGCGGGTGATGCTAAGGGTATGCTCTTAAACAGGGTATGCTGTTGAACAAGTCTCTCACACATGTAATTATAGTTACAAGATAGCTAACATTAGCCAACATTAGCCAACAACAACAGTTTTTCACTCACTCTCACTATTTTTGTAGAATATTACCTCAACAGCACCATGAACGCCTCTGTCCTTATCAGTATTGATCACAGGCCCATGAAAATGTGCTGTTAAAATCTCATTTGTATTTTTTTTGCATATTTCTATGGTGGAATGTTCAGAACAGTATTTTGGCACTGCAAAGTCTCAATTAAAACTTTTTTTTTTTTTTTACGTTCTGTAATACACTTAATAAACTAAATGCATATTCTCTATTTATAAGCTCTCAGCCATCTTTCAACCTTTATTTGGTCAAAAATGTATTTAACAAATCTCTATGTAGAATAAAATAATGGTTTGACTTGCCAACTATTGAAACAATCATTAGTTGCAGCCCTAGTTAAAATTGGCTTAATGTGTTTGAGGCTGCATTGTTTGGTGGCAATACTGTTGTGTCTAATAGTGGAGGTTAAGTATTCACTGTGCAATTGTGAATTTTGTTCTAATTAGAAACACCATGCCCCATTATAATTAAGTGCATTCTTTACATATTTAACTTGCATGCTTTTGGTAAGTGCTGCTTATTGCCCAGAGGTAGTTCTTAACAAAGCCCATGTGCAGTCAGATCACATGCACCATTTCCATATAACTCTCCTCTTCCTGCCACAGGCTACAATAAGCATTTTATTAGCAGTCAGCCTCTGCTTAGATTATAAATAGTGTTTCGACTATTTTTCACTTTCTCCTTCTTCCTGACAAATACAAGGCAGGACATTTACATTCCAAACTACGATTTGCTGTTTAAAATGCCTGAGCGCGTCTTTGATTTATTGGAGATGAGAGACAGGAGCTGACTGTAACCAGGAGCGCTCCTGACAGAATGATGCTTACTATTGCTATGCATATTCCACACAATATCCATAACTCACCATTTACGCTGTTTATGGCTTTGGACAATAAGATCCAAACTGCCTGCTTTCACTGAAGAGAAGCTAAAATAAATGCAGGAAACTGAATGTGAAATCATTACAGGTAATGATGACTAATACTCAAATATAGGTATGCATTTTCCATCTCTACAGTATAAATCATATAATCAATGGCAACAGCCCTCAGTGTAATAAATGAGCTACAAGTCATCCACTGTGTCTAATTATACTGTACCACTGAGTCAGCATCATTGCTCATGCAGATTGAGGACTGATTACAGCTTGAATATACAAAAGAATTCACTGCTCTCACAATGGCATTTCCTCTAACTAAACAACATGCAACTAGGCTTTGTGTTGGCGAGAACATCTAGATCTGAAACATTTTAAAATGTCACACATAAATTAACAAAGATTTTGTGTTGTTTTTCATTTGGAATGCATCTTCATCCTCAAAAGATCATGAGATGTTAGGAACTGAATTCAAATAACACAAATGCATGACAAGTAATTTGACGCAAATATATTGTAGTAGACAGTTTGAGCACATTTTGAGAATAAAATATGTCTATACATACTACATCTAAAGTAAAACCTGCAGTAGAAACAGATCTATGATTAGTAAAATCTATACTTATCTATACTGAAATTAGATAAAAGTTGTGACTGTGAGGTAGTATCTTTGCCTTTTAATTAAGCCACTACACAAAGAACAAATAAAAGGTAGCCACATTTATCAGTGACAGTCCTTATGTCTATGGGGGGCTCAGAACAGATAGAATAAGGAAGATGTTTTTGCCCAGTGCTGAAACAGTGAACACACTTTATATCCTCAAAAGCCGCAGGCAGTTTGTCAAACCAGTTCAGATGTGTGTGCTGTTCGTGACTCCTATAGGGTGAGCTATGGGAGCCAGAGGTCTGGGGCCAACTCTATTCATTCAGGGCAGGTCTTGGCTCACTGCTGGACAATAGTTATGTTCCTACTTCAATTTAGAGTTTGGGAAGACTGCCTTTTTCTGTGAAGTTTGTTGGTACTAAATATTGTCAACACCTACAC